GTTTTCACTTCAATTTCATCTGGCAACTCGTGAGACTGGGAGATAATCTTCTCCACAAGTGGGGCACTTACTTTGACTGACGATGAGAATTCATACTTTGCGTCAATACACGGGTTAGTAATACCGATACCTCCATATCGTGTCGGTAGCGATAAAATCTTGCGATCATATGCAAAATGATTGTTTTCACTATTTTCAGCCAAAAAGCATAGGCTATGTCTCGATGTTGGATTTGATTAAATATTTCCACTTTTACATTTTTTTGAAAAGAGTATTATTTATGAAGGATGCACCAGCTTAATTTCCTTACAGACCTTGATCTTGCTTTTCGGAAGATTCCTTTATTTTTCCTTTTTTTAACGAATTTTGCTTCTTGAAAGTGACAACATGAAGACTGAGTTGCCTAAAGGGATTTGATCATTGATGATACAATTATGTTATTGTGCGCAGGGGTTTTGAACATTTGCCCACTACTTTGCTAAGGTGTAGTAGGTGCCTGTCTATCCATGACTAAGGCAATATCTAGAGAGGTACTTGTATTGTCATATAGGTTCTGGTTGAGGTTGGTTATAACTGGTGTCATATCTTGTAAACACCATCTGGAAACAAAGAAAGCCAAATCAAAGTCTAAACTAAAGCAGAGGTGTCATGAGAAGTAAGGAAATATATTTACAAAATATGTTTCGCAAAAAGAGCCAGAACCATTACAGGGCAATGCGTAAAAGTATGACCACATTTAATGTATGAATCACATACTTCTATGCACTGGTTTTTTCCTGTCAAATGAGCATTTACACGCCTTATAGTGCAGGCTGCAAGTAAAGTACCATTCACTTGCGAGTTCAAGTAACGAGTGGCCATTGTCACTTGTGAGTCCTTCATAATCGAATATTCATTTGCACTCTAAATTTGATAAAAGCAACCAGCTTTGCATTGAAATGTGTCAGTTTAACCTACAGAACCCAGGCATAGAAGTATGCCCATGCATTAAATGTGGTCATATTTTGGCACCTTGCACTGTAATGGGAAGTTATTTGGGTTGTAGAAGGCAGAAAATTGTTATTGCATGACACTGCTTTCTTCCTTATAGTCTGTGTCAAAGGATCATTAACAATGTGTTGTAATATGTCATTTACCTTTTTGCAGCTTCTATGTCGGTTTCATTTGCTTCTTCCCAACATGCATGCTCGATAAGTAATGCACCTGGATACGTATAAACATCTTCAGACATGCAATATTGTGCATATTAAGCAATAGCTTTGCTTCTGGTCACTGATTTCTAACCGTGGTGGTTTAGATGTGCCCATGATCCTCTATCCACTCCGAGTGGGAGACACTTGGCACAAATGATTATAATAACTTCACAGTTGAACCAAGCCTAACCTTACAGAAAACCTCTTGTTGTATTAAGGTTGGAAACACTTTATCTTCAACTTGAAGAGATACGTACCTATGTATATTCTGGCCAAGGAATAAGCCAAGTCACGAGCTATTACTGGTCTTGTTAGGGTTTCAACATATTTAGGTGACATTAAACTATCAATAGCTGAGTGAATGGCATCATGTGCCAATTGTAAAGCAGGCTTGTCTTTTGCTAGAGACAGCTTTGAATGCACTGATGAATGGAGTGCCTTCAGGACCTGGATGAAGGCACAATAATAGGTTTTATTATTTCATGTTTGATTACCTGGGTACTGTCTGACCTCTGAAAGTCAGGATAACAATCAATCAATCAATCAATCAATCAATCAATCAACATTATTTAAGGATGGTGACACATAACAGTTTTCACTGATAAATCTGTGACTCTCCAATGCAACTATTACCAAAATAATAGTCTCTCCTTAAAATCACTTGAATTCAATCGAATTATTCAATTATTGAAATATAAGCATATGTCTGGTTGCCTTACCTGTCCTTGGGTCTTGTTGATAGATCGGAGGACATCCAGTGAGAGAACATTAGTCGTCCCTTCCCAGATAGGCAGAACCTATTTCATAGTAGAACCACAACATTAATATATAACAGAGTGAGTTTTTTTCAAAGTAATTCAAAATTCATGTGGATTTGCCAATCCCCAATGCATGCACTTATACATAATCTTCTATGTACCCCTGACCACACTCCACCCCACCCCTGATATTACATGTATCGTACCTGAGCATCTCTCATTATACCAGGTAGTCCTGTGTCTTCTATGTACCCCTGAACACACCCCACCCCACCCAACCCCACCCCTGATATTTCATGTACTGTGCCTGAGCATCTCTCATTATACCAAGTAGTCCTGTGTCTTCAATATACCCCTCAACACAACACACCCCACCCCTGATATTTCATGTACTGTACCTGAGCATCTGTCATTATACCAGGTAGTCCTGTGTCTTCTATGTATCCCTGACCACACCTCACCCCACCCCACCCCTGATATTTCATGTACTGTACCTGAGCATCTCTCATTATACCAGGTAGTCCTGTGTCTTCAATATACCCCTCAACACAACACACCCCACCCCTGATATTTCATGTACTGTACCTGAGCATCTCTCATTATACCAGGTAGTCCTGTGTCTTCTATGTACCCCTGACCGCCAAAACTCTCAAGACCTTCTGATGTCACCATCATTGCCTAAAAAGATTAAATAAATGGAAATGGAAAACTGGGGAAAAAGAAAGAGATAAACATATATGGAGGGGTACGCATTGTATAAGGAACCACACTACAGATTTTTGAACAGGATTGCAGGGGTCCTGTACAGTTTCTAGCAAGTAAACAACAAGTTAACAGTGCATTTAAGCTTTATTCTCACACTCAACTTGACTCAAACACACCCACACAGCTCTCACTCCACATCCCATAATATGTTCCTTACACAGGGATCCCAACACTACAGATCCAACCAAGCAGATAAAAAAAATCTACAAAGCTTTTCTCTGTTGTATCACAGAGTGGGACAATCACAACAGAGCTAGGCTCCAAACTAGGTGAAAGCCCAAAGATCGAAATAGAATTTAGAAGTTGATTTTTGAGGAGGGAGGAAAACCGGAGGACGCGGAGAAAAACCCTTGAAGCACAGGACCAACAAACAACTCTACTCACATACGACATCGAGATTGGCAGGACTCCAACTCGGGCTGCATTGGTGAGAGGCAGCGCATTAGCAGCTCATGCCAAGGGGATAGAGCAGTACAACAACCTACCTGTTTTGCAGTGTATAACTTGGTGATGGGAGTCAAAAGTCGAAGCAAATGTAGTTCTTTTTCATTTGCCATTTTACAATCTTCCAAACCAAGAAGACGGCTCACCTCCATGACAAGCAGAACTGCACCTCTCACCTCCACCTAATACAATAACTCAAAGTTAATCATTTCTTGTGTAACATTCTCATTCTAACAGGTACAGAGTGGAAACCTGCACTGATAATACATTTCTCACTTTTTTCTGTATTCTAAAAATTAAAGTTAGTAAGTAGCCAAACTATATGGCCATTTACATGAGTCTTTGTAAAGCCCATACATAGGTAATCTGACTTAGATTGATGTATTTCATTTAAGATTACCTAGTACATTATAATTTAACTTAATTTTAAACTATAATATTGTAAACTGATTGTATTCATGTACGAATAAAGCTGTTGTTGTTGTTGTTGTTGATATATTACAGGGCTGTCAACTCTCCCGGATAAACCGAGAGTCTCCAGATTTTGGACCGTATCTCCCGGTCTCCAGATTAGAGTGTCAAATCTCCCAGATAATCCCCGAAGCTGACCATTTCTTGTCTTGTGAGACTAGACTTTCACAACCATAAAATTCCAATTATTTCATGTTGTTTGTGTTATTTTACATCGCTAACAAAATCAAAACGTTCCAAATAAACTGTTCTTGCAAGCAGGCCATTGTAATATAAGCGATAATCTGATTGGTCAGAAATAAACCAATCACATCAAATGTTACAAAGCGAAAGACGTCTTTTCGCGCGCTTTTTGATGCGCTGTGACGTCATGTCCCTTAATTCCCTATCAATTCTCCAGATTTGAATATCTCGGGGGTTGACAGCCCTGATATTAGATGCAAATACATGTATCATGCATTAATGCTTATCCAATGTCTCTAGGAGCAAAATTTCATTTCCTACTAAAAAAAATTGAAATTGCAGTGAATTTGACCAAGAAAATTCACGTTAGAGTTGAATTCAAGCAAGGAAATGGATTTGCAGATTTGGGCAATTTTACATGTGGTTTCTGAGATACATAACATCCTGTTTATTGGTTTCGTGGATACATCAAGTAGTACTTTTAATATTTTGTATTTTATCAATTTCCTTTCAGATTTTGGGTTTTTGGTGGTTTTTTTTTCTCCTGAAGATTTGCAGAATTGCAGATTTTAGCATTCTCACACGTCCCCTGGCCTCCTTAATGTTATCTATCAAAAAAACAAGGCAATAACTGGTTCTGATAAGAAAGAATGAAGACACCTACCTCAAGTCTTGCCAGTGTCTGCATATGTAGTTCATGTTGAACAAGTAGTTTACCAAACACAGAACGTTTGAGGCAGTAGTCTTGTGCAAGGCTAAGAATCCTGTGTAAATATCAATCACAATCTTAAAATGTGCAGTTTCAGAAAATATCCATACTTTAGTTAGAACCATAAGGTGTTGTGTCTATCTAACTTCAAGTAATACAGCAATATTCTCCTTAAATAGTTCTAATTCACCTTTTCTGCGCTAGCTTGGATTGTGTTATGGTCACCAAAAAGTTCGGACATTGTTCTCAGATTCCCATAGAAATTCACTGAGTTTAAAGAGAAAATATAGGTAGATTTCTTTAGTTAGCTCTCTAAACAGCAATACGAAAAACTTCAATCAAGCTAGAAAATTGATTATTTACTTGTATTTAGAGAACTAACTAAACATTAACCAAGTAAATAGTTCATTTAAAGTCAATACATTTGTACGGAAATTCTAGAACAATGTCCGAACTTTTTGGTGACCGTAACACAATCTAAAACAATTTATACCCTGTGACGGCTAGTGCCGAAAAGGTGAATTGGATATTATATTTGATTAGTCATCATTCTATGGTTTGGCAAACAAAAATATTATGGGTAGTTTAGAAATAGTTCGAATTAAATTTCTAAAGATTAAATTTTACAGCTGTTACAGTCAAGCATGAAGAAGACATCAGAATTTTTAGGCAGCATAAAAAATCAACAACGGATGTCAGGATGTCAATCAAAAACAAGCAACAGGAACATAGTTTAACTGTTTTTGCATGCACACACTATTGTTGTGTTGGTAGCACATTGTTCACACAAAAATTAAGTCAAAAGTATGTTATAGGATATACCTTCTCATAGCACTGACAGCCATGATACTAGTATGAATACGACTGACTGTCAACATATTAGAAGCAATGACAGAAACTCCTTGCCCTTCAGCTGCAATCTATAGTATTGAATGAAAAAAGAGTTTTATACAGTATTTGTTTGTTTATTACCTTCTCATTGCACTAATGGCAGAAATACTATTATGAATGCGGGTAACTGTCAACATGTTAGCAATGCCGGCAACACCACGTCCTTCATCAGTTATCTGTTAATTAATTATTAAGATATGACCAAAGAGAAGTTAGGTATTGCCATAATAATAACAGTGTTGGGGGCACAGGTAGCCCAGTACTTAGATATTGCCATCTTGCCACAGGTAGCCCAACACTTGCTGATAACTAGCTAATAATACCACAGGTAGCCCAACACTTACTGACAACTATTAATACCACAGGTAGCCCAACACTTACTGATAACTATCAATGCGACAGGTAGCCCAACACTTACTGATAACTATCAATACCACAGGTAGCCCAACACTTACTGATAACTATTAATACCACAGGTAGCCCAACACTTACTGATAACTATCAATACCACAGGTAGCCCAACACTTACTGATAACTATCAATATCACAGGTAGCCCAATATGAACTTAAATGTAACCATCAGAATAAAGTGTGATGCATGTGCATAACACACTCTAGCATCTATTATAACAGTAGGTAAACAAGCATATAAAGTATATATATTACAGAATTACTGTCTTTACCTTGTGAGCTACTGTGCCATCCAAGAGAAGCTCAGCAGTAGGCAGCTGTCTTGTTCCAAGTTTGTTTTTTAATCTCTTTACAAAAAAAGAAAACAAATTGATTCATAATGCCATTCAGATGACACACTGTAATGTCAAAACAATGAGCTATACCTGTACTTCAATGTTGTTGAGATGTCCATCAGAATCTCTTGTTTCAAGATAAAACATTGTTAGACCTTTAGAACCCTGATAAAACAATGACACGGAATGTATTAATAATATTGATAATGAGTTCTTATATAGCGCATATATTGACTTAATGGGCTTTACATTATGATCAGTGAAGGACTTTATGGGCTGAATAAAGCGCTGTTATCAGTGGTGCAGCTTAGAAGAGTGAATTGTTAGTACAGTAGTTGTAACATTATATGATATTGTGTGACAATGCATCTTTGTTTAACTAGTTACGTTATAGTTAATCACATGATTGTAATCGTATATATATATACACATGTACGCCAGATATATATCAGTTCGCGTACTGTTCAATACATGTAGTATAGAGTCAAGATAAACAAATAAATCGAGACATAACCAACCGAAGACTATCACAGTAGTGTTCTCTCTCAAACTCAAAATTGGGATAGCTTGTTCGTTGAACCGGGAGACTAGATTTCCCCTAATGTATTGAGGCTTGTATATAATGGGTGTTACTGTATCTGGCAGTACATGAGTGCTGTAAAATAACAGTGTTATAATCAGCATATTCAGTATAATCAGCATAAATAAAGTACATTAATTAGTCATCACACATACAGGTATTGTAGATCCATCAGGTTGTTGTATTCTTGCTAATGTCAGTGTTATATCAGCATCAGTTGCAGAACTAAACCATTTATAGCCATGTAGGGTGTAAGTGCCATCTGACTGTGGGATGGCTATTGTCTCCGTTCCATTTGCTTTGGAAATGAATAAATACATAGATCTAGTATATATATCAATAGATCTAGTATATATCAATAGATCTAGTATATATATCAATAGATCTAGTATATATCAATAGATCTAGTATATATCAATAGATCTAGTATATATCAATAGATCTAGTATATATCAATAGATCTNATCAATAGATCTAGTATATATCAATAGATCTAGTATATATCAATAGATCTAATATAAGTATTAAATTATAATTATTATATAGCTATTTTAAATTAAATGTTGGTGAGAGTTTTGCTGCATACAGTATTGCATGCTTGATGTTGCATGTTGCTTTAGGCCTGGTTCACACTACGGTACCTATATAATTGGAAGCAGCATGATGCACAGACTCGGTAGTAGTGTTCTGCTCATTAACAGTGCTTGTCTTTTTTCACACCAATACTCAATCTGTGTATGTTGCTGTTTCAGTGCTAAAGCTAAATGTATTACATTCATACATAAATAATGTCAGCACAGAAGAAATTTTGCTGTAAAAACGTACAGACAAAATTCTGGAAAACTCCATATCATTGTGAACCTTAATTTGCTGATGGTATTCAAATTGTCCATGGTGCATTTCAGGCTTGGTATATAACATGAAACAAACAAAACCTTCAACCTTTTTCTGAATTGCTGAATATTTAAAAAATATGCAAGGCTAGATTTATTGTAATTCGCCTAGATGAATTGTAATCTCCTAGGATGAGCTCCCTACTTTTTAGAGAGAACAATGAGGAAAAAATATGGTTAAATAAAAAAATGTTGAGTTTGATGCACTGTCTATCCATAGGCTATACTCTTGCAATACAAGCAAAGAATAAAGATTATTTTAGGATACACAATTTAGTACTGACCAACATCAGATCCCCCTTGTCTTTCAGTCATCCATTGTCCTGAGGTCCAAAACTGACTGGGATTCCTACTCGTAAGTCTGTTGAAAGCTTGTTTGAACATCTCTCCACTTGGATTGCATATCTGAAAAAATTAAAATACTGCACGTTCAAGAAGACATGGTCAGAGATCAATCATTATTTACTTCCATGTAAGTTATTAGACCAATGCAGTTTTCATGACTGTGAAAGCTTTGGTGCCTTATTGTGCCTTGCCATGACCGCAATGTTCTCTAGAATTTAATTGGCTGATATTTTTCTTGTACAATGTGATTGGTCTGGCATACTTGGGCAGTGTTGTGACCTTGGCATGACTCTCTTTAAAGCAGACACCCTTGGGACCATCACTTGGTGTGTACATGATAGCTAGCTAGCGTCTGCAATAGCAAAAATTAATTATGGTTATTTCTTTGTCAGAATTTCTGAGAAATTTTGATCTTGTCTGCAATAGCGAGGTGTCCATAATATTGGGCTGTCCACAAGGCCAGAGTTGACTATATTTCATTGGATGGAGAGGATAATTATTATAGTATTATATAATTATCGCAAAATGTGATTGATCTGGTGTATGCTGGTGTTTCTTGCTGAGTCATGACCTCATTCATGCCACAAGCTTGTCATACACCTACAGTCATAAGAAAACTACTGTATTGATATRATATTAGAAAGAGTATACCTCTAGGGTCTTGGCTGCACCATCTGTCATTGCCAGGGGACATGAATACAGCCCAGATGATGAAGAGAAAAGATAGAGCTTGATAGTTTGGTAGATACGACTAAGGATTGAACAATATTCATCAGGGGAAAGTATAGATATTTTGTGGTACAATACTACAGTAACAGTATACCTTCCTCGGAACTTTCTACCCCTTGGAAATTCAAGCCTCCCTCCATGGGGAAGGTATGGATATTTTCTGGAAGTACACAATATATCCTCCTCAGACCCTCCCCATCTATTGGAAATCCCAATCTCCAATGAAGGAGTTAATGTATTGGATATTTTCTGGAACAACACAAAATGCCTTCCATACCTACAGTATAGTATAAGAGGACATTTCAGTCAACTTCTATTAAAAAAGCATGGATGACTTTTGACTACAGTAAGTGATATTCTATTTCTACAAGAATGTATACCTCCACTGTTCATATTTCCTCTCATATCCAATTGCTACAAGACCCTCTTCAGCTGATACATCATGCAGCTGCTTCCATCCTTCGCATGTATTAATCCTGTCAATACGATGGCCCCAGCCATCAAAGTGTTCAAGTGTTGGAGGTCTTGACTCACAATCCATGCCCATAGATTGTATATCAGTACTAACTCTTTTGCCAAACTGTTCCAGATCTGGTAAGATCTCTTCTAGCACCTGGAACATATATTATATCAATTAATAAATAGATTAGAATAATGATTGGCAAGAAGTAGATAAACTACATCCTGGATTGGCTCGCCATAAATAAATTATACTTTAACTAATCTTTCATTCCTTTATTATCTTCTTGCCTCTGTTCTTTTGCCATTTATTCCTTTTCTTCTCACTAATGGACCCTTCTTAGAATTGTCTTAAATGCAAGGCTAACATGGAAATACAAAAGATATGTCACAAATTCCATTGAGGAAAAGTGTGATTTCTTATGTATTTTCATATTAGCCTCACATCCACAATACTTTTGAGAAGGGTCTATTTATTTTATCTTATCTCATCTTCCTTGCTCTTTCCCTCTCCTTTCTTCCCTCCAATTCTCTTCTCTTTTATCTTATCTCATCTTCCTTGCTCTTTCCCTCTCCTTTCTTCCCTCCAATTCTCTTCTCTTCCATTCCCTTTTTTATCTATCCTATGTCTTTTCCTTCCTGTCCACCTTCGGAGTTCCATTGGTTTGCTTTCCCAGGCAGATTAACTACTGCATCCACCCAAACTCTCTAGACTTGTGACCCACCAACCTGTCTTGGTAGAATTCTCTTGACACATGATCTTAGGTGAGGGTCCCTTGTAAACTGATTGTCCAGCTCAGGAGGATCTTGAAAAAAACAACCACGACGAGAAMCAGAAAACGGCAAAGGAACATCCATATTTTCTGCTTGATCTGTTTTTGATTTTTCTTTCATTGATATGGCACTCGAACTCAGACGAATTCCTCGTATAAAATACTGTACATTTGCAAATTTTAATAATCTAAAAGGCTTGTCTAACAATTTTGAGGTCAACATTTTCATGWCTTTTTGACTCAATGTTTTCGCCTTTTTTGTGTCTTTCCCCTTTCTATTTCGTAGTTCAATACCTCATAGGTACATAAGGAATCCTCCAACAAAGAATTGAGCTCGTTTTCATGCTAGAAAGAACGATGTTCTTGCTGTAAATTCGACTTTTTGAGCGCTTTGTCACTATTTTCTCAGTGTCCTTGTATTTTGGTCACGTGTTTGGTGTTTTTGTTCTTTTACACCACAGGTAACCCAGGCTATGCTAAAAAACGCTTTTTACACAAGACGGTAAATACACTTCTGCTTTTTATATACTGGAAGTTTTAACTTCGGACAAAATTTGAAGTCTTTTCCCATCCATACACAACAGACCTGGCAAAACATGGCTGGTTGAAGGAGAGTCGAAAGAGTTGGAATAGCTGTAGAGCGCAGTCTCCAGTCGTCTCGTTGCTCCGCGCTAGCCTAGCTCCAAAGTTCAACTCGTTCCCAGACCTTCTTGGTTTTCTGGTTTTCCGATTCTGCGTAGTACGACGTGTCGTAGTACTAGTATAGTAACGTTTGCCGGCTTCATTTCATAGAGGCAGTAGAACAAACTTCTTGGTAAGTACATCTCGACCTCGTTTAAATTCCTGTCGACGAAAGAACTATATAATTTAGAAATGATGAAAAGGTAAATTATACACCGTGAAAAGATGAAAAAACTTACTGACGTTTCGGACGCTAGTCCTTCGTCGGAGTAAAAGAGGACTAGCGAGGAGAGGACTAGAGAGGACTTTTACTCCGACGAAGGACTAGCGTCCGAAACGTCAGTAAGTTTTTTCATCTTTTCACGGTGTATAATTTACCTTTTCATCATTACTGTTTCATTAGAAACACCGACGCAGCTCACACTAGTTTCTAGCTAGTTATATCTTTATATAATTTAGAGCTAGTTTATAACGTATACTAACAGTACAAATAACAGATCAACCATTTTGTTTGGGTTTTTATTCCTCATTTTTATTGATGCAAAATGCAGGAGATTCCTTCGTTTAGATGATCGAGTTAATTGATTCTCTTGATTGTTGTTTCGATTCTCACCGAGGTTTTATCGTCGTGTACGGATTAACGAAGTACGTCATAGGTTTCCGAACACACGAGGGACTTAGAAATTTTGGTTCTCCTCACTTAGAAAAAAAATTAAGTGAAGACACCAAGAATCGAACTCGGTACCTTCGGCACCAAAGAACTACAGCTACAATGCCAACCCCAACCCTAAACCTAACCCTTCCCTGCTAGAGTACAAGCACTATAAGTGTGTAACATAAATACCACTAAATACTGCTAAATTATGCTATTCCTATTGTTTTCTATTGTTTAATTACCAATATTTACTACTAAATAGTGCAAAGTGTTGCACACTTTTAGTGTTTGTACTCTAGCAGGGCCTATTTTCCTTTTGTTTTGGTTGAGAAAGAAAAATAGACGCCGATGTAGGACGTTATTTCTGTCGCTCATGCGTGGAGTAACTTAGTAACGCTGTCATGATTTTGACAGCCGCTCTCGACAAATAATGTTTGGCGCCACGGTGTGTTACATTTGCACATGCGCACTACATGTAATTGGTTGAAACGTGGTTTTGAAACTAGTTTTGTTCGTCCACGATCGTGGACGGCGGTGTATCAAAGGAAACGCTTTACATCGGCAGAGTCTCCTTCCTCCCCGCCTGAAAGAAGGGAGAGAAAAAGAAGAGACTCTTCTAACAGGGAAACCTAACCCCTAGATCATCATGTGATGGTGCAAAGCCTCTACTGTCTGGGTCAGAATTTGAGAGTTTACTAAAGTAGACATTAAAATAAGTATTAAACAAAACAAAACAAAAGTTCATGATTATTAATTGTGCATGTTGGTGTGCCACTAATAGGTGGGGTGCACCCCATGCCATAAGGATAAAAGCACATAAAGCATGACTGCTTTATTATGTTGGTTGACATGACAAAAGACATAATATTTTGTTAAAGTCAACCAACATGATGCCATAAGGGCTGTGACATCTCATACATGCACCACAAGATCAGAGAATAAGCTAGTTTTAGGATAGTAAGTTTATTGCAGAAGTATATCATCTTGACATTTGTTTTGCTTGCTTTTTCTTTAGGTTTTTAAAGTTCATTCAAGGAATCTAAGAGGGGTATCATTGTGCAAGCATCTGTAACTACAATGTAAGTGAGCTAGTTTGTTTTGTTTTTGTTTTTATCTTGTGATAAAGTTTTATCAATCTGCAGTAAAGTAGCTACAGACTGCATTGAATATATGGAGTTTCTGTTTATCTTAAATCTGTCATATGCAGCAAATTTAAAAGTATTACTTCAAAGTCATGGAAGGACCCAGCTCAAGTTCCACAGCTACACAACTTGATACAGATCCTCAACCAGGGTATACCGCAAGGGGGCACAAGTTAACACAGGACACTCCTTATGTTTCGGAAATAAAAGGAGAACCAGTAGTGCAGGCTACAGATAGGCAGACATCCTCTTACCCACCCAATCATCCAAGAAATTCAGTTCACCTGGAGAAGGATGCGGTGCCAGTCACCACAGAATGTACAGCTATCTCAAAAGAAGGAGATCAAAGGCTTCCCCCTAAAGAAAATTCATTTGAAGAACCCAAAGATGGCTCTATCAAAAATTCCCATGTTGGCTCCCATAAAGATTTACCAAAAGTTGAATGTATTCCGAACAATGATATTGACAATGAAGATTTCCGAGAACCCAAAAACACATTTTGCACCAGAGATAATAAGAGTGATGACATTCCAGAGGTAAACACAGGCGATGAACAGACCTTTGCAACTGAAGATAAATCAGTAGAACAAGACCAAAGTCATCACCAAGCAGATGATATTCCAACCAATGTTGACCAGGCCTCTTCTTCAAAAAATTCAATGAAAAAAGGAGACAGACTCCATCAAGCCAAGAATATTCCTACCAATAAAGGCTTCAAGGGAAAAAGGAAAATGGCATTGATTGTTTTCATAATAATTATTATTATTGTTTGCTTGGTTTTTCTTGCCAAAGTTGAGCTGCCTAACTCTATGCCATGCTCAAACATTTCACGTGGAGATTTGATAGCTAACCCAAAATTGTGGGGTTTATACTCCCACTATATGATTTATATAGGAGATGGGGATGTTGTGCACCGAACAGGCGGAATACGCGACTGGTTCCACTTTAAAAAAGGAAGAATCAAAAGGGAAAAGCTTGCCGACATTGTATCAGATAGCTCTATGTGTACATTGGTTATTGAAAATGGGTCATGGGAGGGTCATGAACCACTCCCAGTGGAAGAGATAATCAAGAGAGCCCTCTCAGCAATTGGCCAAGAAGGATTTAATCTGTTGTCCAAAAACTGTGAACACTTTGCTCGCGAGTGTCGATACGGGACACCAGTTAGCAAACAAGCTAACAACCTACGATTTATACTGAAAGTCATCAGAATAATTACGTTTATCGTAATAGTACTGGTAGTACTCTACTGCTTGCTATTCGCTATACGCTATTTGGCAAAAAAACTTCAAACGAATACAGACGATTAAATGCACCAAAGAATAATACAGTACACTGAACTCAAGAAAAAAAATAAACTGCTTCTTTAGACGTTTAGTAAAAAGAATTGTAGTTAGAGTGGTTATACTTAACCTGTGAAATAGTTTCACGAATTCCTTGGAACATTTTAGGCTTTGATAAATTCATTTGAAGCGAAGGTTGACGTTTTTAATGAGTCCTAGTTTTCACTTAAGCTTAATACTCACTTCCCCGACTGACTGGACTAGCAGTAATGCAAAGCACTGTTACCCTCTGTTATAGACTTACCACACCCATTTTCTTTTGTTCTCCATCGGTTTTGATATTTCAGGTAAGACCTACATTCTAAGAGTCGGGGACGGCATCGATTATTTTCAGGGGAGATTGGGGCTGACATTCCAAATCCGATGGGGAGCAAAAGAAAATGGGTGTGGTAAGTCTATAAACAACCTAAAAACCTCGTGCTCGGTCTTCATTGAAATTCAAGAAGTCAAGAGTTCAATGGAAGACCTCGCACTTGGTTTTTAACCTATATCTAAAATCATATTTTTGTCTGTATTTGCTATAGTATTAACATAGATTTTGTAGTATACCATGGGAAATTCCCATGC